AATAATATTAGGTTTTTTAACACTTAGGTTAGTAGAAAAGATGGCTGGGCACACGGGGATAGGGTGTTGGTTCAAAGGCAGAGGGCAGATTATTGGCCCTCACCTGTATCACTTGTATCAATTGTATCACTATCCACCACAGAGGCTAGCAGGGCCTCTTTATCAAACCCCTCAAAGTCCATATCCTCACTATCACTGACTTGGGCCGGCTGTGGTGGGTGGCGGGTGAAGAACTCGGTAATGTTTTGATGACTGGGCGACCTTGTGCGCACCTTGCCCGCGCGGCTTCCCGCGTAAATGACAAAATTTACCGCGTAATTAAAGCATTTACATTCTGGCAAGGCACCGCGTAAATGACCAAACGCGTAAACAAAATCCGCGTAAATGCAGACTATACTGTACTGTGGTACATATACTGTATAGTATTGTATAGCTTATTTCAATATTGATCCCTGGCCATCAGTTATGACAGAGACTTGACTTCGGTCAAGTAATATCTCCGTTAGCTGGAATCCCTCTTAACTGGAACTCTCCTCCAGCAACATCACCCAACCACCCCCCACCCACACACACCCCCCCCACCCACACATCACTCCCCCCTCCAACCACACACACCCCAACATCACACAAACCCACACAGACACATTCCAACACCACTCACACACCCAGAACAAGGGAATTAAGACAGCAAGCATGAGGAGTGAGGGTTTTATTGTATGACACATATCTGCGTGTGTGTGACTGCATGGTAACGAGTTAAATATCAGCTGTTGAGGAGCACTTGGCAACACTCATTTCTACGCCATCTCTCTAATTACCCACACCCTTTTACTCACTCAGTCCATATTTATAAAAAACATTTTACGTAATGTTGAAGGGATACAACTTTGCTCATTTATACTTTTCACAATCTCACTAAAAATACTTTAAGTTTTGTGTTTATTCAAGACATCTTCAGGTCATGAGACCCACTAATCCTCCTCCCAAGAAAGGGTGACCTAACATTCCATCAGAAGGTCAGTAATATGAGACCACTAATCTCCCACCCTACCTCGACCTGACAGTGCATCAGGTCAGGTCAGTTACATGGGATCCACTAATCCTCCACAGCTCCATGAGAGTGAAAAATAACAGCCTTTGCTGTAACACACAGCTTCATTCATGCCCATATCCTATAAATTTTTTATTTTTAAATAAATTTAGTTAACCAAACTTTTAGATAAACTATTCTGGATTATTATAGTAAAGAAATGGAGTTTCTAACTTAATTACAGCTGCATTTATGGACTCCAGTATTTTAGACTCAAGGAAAACATCCCCAGCACTCCTCGACTTACGACCACCCGAATATACAACCGCTGCAGTCGTGTGTGTACTATACACACATACATATATAAAGTAATGGTTGCCCCTCATGTAACGAGGATGGCCAGCCCAAGGGCCACCTATGCGTGAATTCGTTTAAGGTGTAGAAGCTGTCGGCAACACAACAACCACACACTAAGTTAACGAGCTGCATGACTCAGTGTCACGGAATAGTCCGAGAAGACAGGACAACTCGCTGACTGCACTGGCTAACCATTATCTCGGAATGGATTCTACTACGAATATTCCTATAACGAACGGTTTTACCTATAAAATTGAGAATGCTATAACGAACGAAACTCCTACAACGATTTTTTTTTGACTAATTTATTGGGTTTTTTTATTACAAGTATTAATGATATTCTTTATTTCAGGGGTTTAGATGCATATTTACGCACTTTTTTACAATTTTTACAATTTTATATTATATTTTTCAGTGTTAAGTGGTTGTATTTGGGGGCCTGGAACGGATTAATCCTATAACGAACGAATACTATAACGAACAAGGTCCTAGAACCAATTAGATTCGTTATAGCATACCCCACTGTACATATATATACCGGTATATATATATATATTATATATATATATATATATATATATATATATATATATATATATATATATATATATATATATATATATATATATATATATATATATATATATATATATATATACATACATACATACATACATACATACATACATACATACATACATACATACATACATACATACATACATACATACATACATACATTGATCAATCATTGGTCAAAACTAGCTGTCCTTCCTCCAATGAAGATCCACTCTGAGTACAGCACTAGCTTTGCTCATAATTTTTACTTATCCAAATAAGTTTTGTACCAACATACAGTAGGTAGCAAGATTAAAGAACCTTTGTGATGATTTAAACAAAACAAAATAAAAAATATTAAGCCTTAAACCCCAACCCCATGTGTCCCTCTCACTTTTAATCATCAAATGTTAATAAATAAAAGAACTTAACAATATCAACAATATTTTCCAACTTTCAGGCAGACATTCAGATGCAGGCATCATCCTGACAGGCATTAATGCAAGTGTTGCAGTAATTGTCCATATAGGGTTAAATGAAGTAGTGTATCACTTTTTTTCTCATTCAGGTTTATGAACACTCATTTTGTCATGCATTGGCAACACACAGGATCCATTACAATACACAGGTCATCCAAGCATTCCATGACTGTGGTGTGTGTGAACTGAATAATTTACACCTTAAGAAGACAACAAGGAACCTTTCAATGTGTCAAAAGAAATGCTAATAGTTATACAAGTGCCAAGGGCTCTGTTACTCTCTGAGCAATAGGAGCAAATTTGTCAAAAATTAATACATGATCAAGTTAATAATAATAATAAATATTAAAAAATTAATAAAAAATCAAAATGCCATAAGAGACAACTCAGTTCACAAGCAACATCTGGTTTGTAGACATCCAGCCTAAAATAATTCAGTGCTCTATTATCTATTAACCCTCTGAGTAATTATTGCTTTTTCCTTTATTTACCTTTATCCCTAAATACTGTATTCATCTTACCAATATATGCAACAACATGGCACTAAATCTTTCCATTTTCAGAAATATCAAGAGAACATTTTGTAAAATCACTGTTTACACCACCACCTCTGTTGTCCTCTCCTCCTCTTCTTATGTAAATTTATGGCAAAGTTTCACCCTCAGTACATGTTTTTACCAGGTATCTATGCCATAAGCCTCATACAATACAAACCTGATGAAGCTGGCAATTAACGAATACATTACAGTCATACATTTCGTCAATTATCAATCACAATTATACAGCTACAGTCAAGTATAGTTAGAACTGTAAAACAGATACAGTAGTGCATATTTAGTACAGTACTGGAGTAAAAAATACAAACCTGTTACAGGTATACCCCGAAAACTGACGTCCCCAAAACTGCCAATTCACATAACCACCGATTACATACAAGACAAATACCCCACAAGTTTCATTGATACCCTGGAGATCCGACGATCGGGAGAGGAGCGGCAGAGCTGTTTTGAATTGGTGAGCAGTGACTTGTGTAAATTCTTACCACAAGGGGGCTCTGTGCTGCCTCTGACTTATTCCCACCTCTGTGCTCTTGATTACACTTACCATGTGTCTCTGACCTCATGTTCTTTTCATTATTTCCGACTTCATGTGTTATGCAATCATTCCTAAACACCACAGTGATAGTTGAAGAGGGGCAGCTTGATGTACAGTAATGTGATAAGGCATAATAAGGGTGGTGATAGACCTGCAAAAATTTGTAGACTTGATTTTTTCATTATTTCCAACTTGGTGTGTTACGCAATCATGCCTAAATGCCCCGGTGATATTTCCTCTTGTGCTAGCTTGATGTAATGTGATAAGGTGTAATAAGAGTGGTGATGGACCAGAAAAGATTGGTTGACTTGAAGTTGCCACCCTAGACCATCTCTACCATCATCAGCACGGGTAAGTAACAGTCTCATTTTATGCTTACCATTCCTTATTATGCTTGCTTTATATGTTTGTTTATTTTCTTGCTTGCCAGTATGCAGGAAAGAGATTTGTCGAGGGTAGATTGGAGTTTTTTGGAGGGGCACCTGGACCGTAACCCCTTGAATTTGTTAAGTTCTTATGGGATGAATTGCTTCGATAACCGTTGATTCACTAACCAACGACTTTTCACGGTCTCAACATACGTCAGTTATCGGGGTATGCCTGTACAGTACTGTAAAATATTGTATATGCACAAAACTATAAATATTAATATAACATCCCAAACTTGGGGTGCAAAAAGGAAAAAAAATAAATAAATATGTGCCAAATAACTTTGGCAGTCCTGAATGTTTTGGGGTGAAATAGTCAGTACTGTATATAAAAAAGAAACACAAATAGAACTACAAAAGCATTTAACATTCCGCTGACATGAACTAAACAAACCTAATATATGAACCAAACTCCCCTTGGATCATAATATTAGGCTGTAGCCTCTTTAAATAAATAAAATCTTATTGGTCTTGTTTGTGGCACTTTTCCAACATACGTACAGTACTACTCTAACTGCCCCTAAACAGTACGCACCACAGAATAGGCACTAATGTCCCAACATGATATCAAGTAGTTCAGTACTGACAACTACAGGGTATCTGCATGAGCCAGATTACACCACCAGAGATTACTAATTGTTACATATCACAGCTGTCCTCATCAGTGTGTGTGCAACAACAAATGTTTGAACAGTATCAATAAGCCCATTCCACAGACATAATTCCTCTGTTGTTCATACTGCACTGCTACCCTTAAAAAATACACTGTAGTTCTGTCCCAGTGGCCTTTATCCAATACAATATACATCTTTCACAATAAATAAACAAGGAGCCGTTTCTCATAATCAGTAGCCTTCAACAGCCACACGCACGTCTAACATTGTTACTAAGCACCACTCACACTCGTCAACTGTATCAGCAACAGTTACTGTACTGTCTCACCTGACTCATGTATCTTGCCCATGACAGCAGACAGAAAAGGATCCTAAGATTGCAAATATTCACTGATAAAAAAATAAAGCTTCAATGTATAAAAATTTAAACAACACTCACCCAGTCCTGCGTAGTGTTCCCCCAGCCCGCCATTACGTGGTTCTGCACAGATAAATGAGGTACCACTGTATAAAACACCACTGCCAAACTAAGGTGTTCTGACTAGGAGTAAAGTCATGTACACCAACATTCTTTACATCTATACACCAGTACGTACTCAAATTCAAATTACAATTAACACCCACAAGCAGGATCTTTATTAAACATTGATGTGAAAGACCCAAAAAGAACTTGAAAGTCCTGGTAATCAAGGGGTCCCCTGGGTAGATAGTACAGTACAATAACATTGAAATAGTGACAAACTATAGGGACTCCCAATGATAAAATGACAAAGGTCGAGTAGAAAAATTGTATAATTAGATATGAAAATCAAGTTCCAGAAACACTGTGAACCAGTTAAACATCAGTCTAATCAGCCAACTTGGCCAGCAACCAATTCATAATGAAAATCCTGCATGCAGGACAAAGAGCTTGACAGCTACTTTGGTATAGTAAGTGAATTGGGTGGATAATTTTATTGTGAACCAGTGCTGTACTCACTTAAACATGGTCCAACATGATAGCTGTGTTCAAACATACCCTTTTGTCATGAAGTTACTTTTTATGAAGCAAAATGAACCAAATTAAGCCAAACCTAACCTACCTAAACTTACCTATAATAAATTTAGATAGGTTTGGTTTGGTTAGGGTGGTCTTTAAGAATTTGATGGCAATCTGGTTATCTATTTGATAGCTGGTTCAGAGCAAAATACCCACTGCAACAAGTGAAAGCAAGAGAAGAAAGTAAATTTGGCATTTTTTTTAAGAAAGGTGCATATTTAAATGTACAGTATAAATATATCCATGCATGTTTGATAGGAATAGTACATACCATTAAATTTTATAGTGCTACTGTACTGTATATTGTAAGGGTATTCTTTTGCTTTGTCATTTAGGAACAAAACTATCTTCAAATTTTTCTTTTTGTTTTATAAATTATCCCACATCCATTTATTTGAATTCCATACTGCTATACCAAAGTATTTTATTACTCTTCATCAAACCTTAATGTTTTACTGTACTGAACAATTATGTCAATACCAGCAACTGCTACTTTAAAATACTTTACCGATCAACCTTTCTCTGGACATGTAACTACACGATATGCTGATAAAGAGCAAAGTGAGGTACTGTACAAATTACATAAAATATGACAACTTTAATCAAATTTGTTGGAGTCTGGTATATTCTTGTTTGGGTATGCAAATCACCCACCTCTTCACACCACGTGCTTCAAGTTATAGGGATCGGGTGCTACAGTTGCTCTCTAAAAGCAAAAAGCCCAGCCAATCGGCACAGTCAAAGCCAAAGCTAAATATACCAGCTTTTGAATTCAGGACCACTCTAACACTCACAATTCAGTTCCAGCTAACTAATCTATTAACCAAATGGAGGAGGAAAGCTATCCAAATAACCTGACTATGAACTCCACTAGTATAGCTAACAGGAAGCCGATAGAGACTATAAAAAGAAAACTACAAGGATTAGACAGACTTGCAACCCAATGAGAGATGATTTTGCTTTATATGGTAGGCTGTATCTATTAAAGTTGACCCCAAGATTACAATACCACAGTTATATAGTTTTATTCTAGAAACTCTGGAAAAGAATAGCCATCAGTACCCAGTCCCAATGATCAGTGAATCACACATCCCTAGCATGACAAGTCTTGTTAAATTGCCTTCAAAGTCACGGACCAGGTACAGTACATAACACACCAATTACTGTAAGTAAGAGAAAGAAAATATAAATTAAATCCAGGAGTAATTCCAAGACAAAAACTAACTTACAGCCCCCAAAATTAAAAAAATTCAGAACAACCAAACATGAGGCCTCTAAAACACAAAGGAAGATGACACAACACTATCACTGCCCACCTCTGCAAACAAAACACTCAAGAGGTATTAGAAGAGGCTTTTGACAGAATTTTGAGCAGCACAGGAAACAATCATGATACTGTACTATACAGTACTGTACTGTGCTGTATTCTATGAATCAGCTCAAGCTTCTGTAATACCAAATTGGATGTTGAGATTATTATTCACCAGAAAGAAATTATCTGAAGAATTTGCTTAAAGAATAAAGCCATTACAAAGAATGATTATCCAATCTGTATACAGAAGATAACACCATACATTTAAAAAAATATATATATATCCTTCAACATCCAGCAATCCAGCTTATTTTTGGCTGTGAAAATGCATGAAAGCTCACTTGAGCATACAAGTTTCTATATACGGTAATACATAGTACCTCATTTATATTTTTCCTTTAGATTAAAGGAAGAAAAGAATAACGAGGAAATTTTCAGATGATGAAAATGGACATATTGAACAGCAATACTGTATACTACCATCACTTTACTGTTTTGTTTGGGTAATAATTTCTCCAAGACCAGATAAGCTCTTTCACACCAATACAGTGATATCTCTGTTAGCCAGAACAATTGGTGCAGAGCACTTCCGGGAATGAGAGATTTCCGGATAACAAGACGACTCTCTCAAAGTCAGAAAAAATCCCTCATCCACAGAATTTTCCGGGTAATGGAAAAATTTTCTCGGAAGTTCCAGAAAATGCCCATTACATCATCTCTCGAACCCGGAAAAAATCCCTCATCCCGGAATTTTCCGGGTAACGGATAATTATTCTCGGAATTTCCAGAAAATGCGCCTGATTTTCATATCTCAGACCCAGAAAAACTCCATCATCCCCGGAATTTTCCGGGTACCTGTACCGGGAAAATGTTCTCAGAATTTTTCGGAAAATGTGCCCCTCGGAAAATCGTTCCTAAAGCCGGAATTTTCTGTAAAATTTTGGCTTTGGGAACGATTTTCCGAGAAAATTTCAATTCCGGCTATCGGAGAGTTCCGGGTTTGAGGGATTCCGGCTAACGGAAAGATTACTGTGTTCATAGAGCAGAGACCTCTATTTTTGTTAATGTAGCCAGTACATATTTCTTCTTTACTTCAAGAAGTAAGTGTAAGTGTGTGTGTGTGTGAGGAACAACTGTATCCCTATTTCAAGTTTTTCATGGTAAGGCTACAACTACCCAAAATACTCTGATACTGTACAAAGAAACTTCTCCCAACACAGAGCTAACTTTATCAACAGAATATCAACCCAAGGTCACATAATCCTAAAACCCTGATAGAGAGCCTACAGTTCTCCTTATTCTCCAAAATACAGCTCAATAAATAAAAGCTCTCATTACGTATTTTAACACTTTGCATCTCAAAATATTCATAAATGAATCTATCAGTAATACTAACAATGCAAAAGATCACTTTTTCTTTTGACTTTTGTGTAATGAAACTATTGTCACCATCTGTGTTAAGACATTTTGGTTTCTGATTGTAACTTGAGGTTCCATACACTGATGAACCTTGTACAGTAGTGGCCACTGGAACAAGAAGCCCCCCAATTGATTTTAGGATTACTGAATCAAAGGTCAAACTGATATTTGCTAAAAACAGAATTTTGGTTATTGAAATGTAGCAGGAATTGACATACTGAGTCATGGTATTACCTGCTGGTACTGTACTGTATAGTACTGGGTTTTTTGGGAGTGTCAGCCCACCAGGGCACAGGTCAATGACCCCACATCAGGGCCCGGGGGTGAAAATATTATTATTATTACAGTATTATTATTATAATAATAATAATAATAATAATAATAATAATAATTTTATAAAAATGTATAACAATTAATAAAAACAATTATTAAAAATATTAAATAATAATAAATAATAATAATAATAAATACAAATATTTAAAAAAAATCAATAAACAAACTATATACAAGTACTCCTCGACGTATGACCTACTCGACTTACGACCGCCGCAGTCGTATAAAACATTTTTCAAATTATGTACGTATGTTCGAGTCCCGACATTAGTGATCGCGCTGTTTACCGGTACTGACAAAAAAAATTTTTGTAATTCCCTTTAAAATGGCTGGCAAGCGTAAAAGTGAGAATTCTCGTGGTGCTGAGAAGAAAAAGAGACACCCATTTTAGATTTTCTATGTACTACTACTTTCACATTTTCGACTTACGGCCAATTCGACTTACGACCTGGTCATCAGTCCCTAACCCCGTTTAAGTCGAGGACTGACTGTACTGTATGTATGTTGTGTTCTCAAAGTAAGAGAAACAATTGAAACCCTGATATTGTGTGTATCTTATCATTAGGAAGAGAAAGTTCTCTACTGATACAGTATTCTAATTCCTTGGTAAAAGGTAGCTGGCTGAGGGATTTATATAAATTTTCCAGTTGCTGTTCATTATTGTACATTAGTTCTATAAGACTTAGTCATAAGAGAACTACACCGTTAAAAAAAATTCAATAAAAGCACTATAGGTCCAGCAATACCTACACTCACCTCTATAGTTAAGACTACAGGTACTTCAAATAGAATTTTTGACAGATACATGTACAGTGAATCCTCACTTTACGCGGTTAATTCAACGCGTAAAGTGAACAACATAACATATGGGATTAATTGAAATAGAGACCGGGCCGACCCCCAAACTCCACTTTTTCAGACACAATACCTACGTTGTAGTAAAAATAACTTCTTAATTTTATGATGGTATGCACACACAATTAATAATTAAGAGAAATATCAATAATATTAGGTTTTTTAACACTTACATTAGTAGAAAAGATGGTTGGGCACACGGGGATGGGCGGTTGGTTCCGAGGCAGAGGGCAGATTATTGGCCCTCACCTGATCACTTGTATCAATTGTATCACTATCCACCACAGAGGCTTGCAGGGCCTCTTTGTCAAACCCCTCAAAGTCCATATAAGTCTATATCCTCACTATAATTATCATTATCACTGACTTGGGCCGGCTGTGGTGGGTGGCGGGTGAAGAACTCGGTAATGTTTTGATGACTGGGCGACCTTGTGCGCACCCTGCTCGCACCGCTTACACAACATGGCGGATGGCGGGAGAGGGCGGGAGAGATGGCGGGAGGTTTGGATCCAAAAATGGTGCG